ATGGATATATATGTACTTATGTACTGTATGTGTATTTCATGTACGTTTGTATGGTGTTTGTATAATTGTTCATGTGATTGTTTGCATCACTTTATTTTGCCTTAAGTTTTTTTTTAGTTTAAGATTGCTTTTAATTTTATATGGCTGAACAGTTTTTTGTTTTTTTTTTGTTTTTTTTTCACTTTTCCTTAATGTCCCTTTTGAATATTTGAATTGTCTTTTTCTTAGCATAAGTCTTTTTTGAGAACTTTACTGTACATTTTGTTTTGGACGCACCTTCGATTGAGAAATGTGCCACTGATTGAAAAGTATGTTCCTAATAAATTATTATTATAGCGCCGCGCCGCGGATGCAGTAAAATTTTTCTCCGTGTACCCATAATGCATTTTGACCGGATGTTCCACTATTTTGAGAAGCTGCTCTATCTTCTGCTATTTATTATCTTTGGTTGTATGCTGTAGGAGTAAGATTTGAAATATTCTTGACGGTGTAAAAAAAGATGAGACTATCTGGTGAATAATTTTTTTATATAGATGAGAGGCATATGGCAAAAAATGAGTTTTTGCATTTGTTTGTTTTCACACTAGGTTAGCCAATCCGACCTGATCTATTAAAATGGATATACTTATATACGGTAGTGGATGAGTATCATCAGTAATTGAATTCATTTTTAAGCACATTTCTGTCACAAAGATCATTAATGCTCTCAACATCTTTGCCAATGATTTTCCTTACTGCTTTAGTTATTTTCGTTATTTGATAATTATTTTTCTTAGTTACAACTAGGCGATGGAGCAAAAACATAAAATAGATTTGATGACACTGATAAAAAAGGAAAAAAAGATACGCGCAATTATAATTCAATATTTTGATCAGGAAGAGTGGACCAAACAACCAAATGTATAATTACAACAAATGTATCTACAACCTGGAGTCCCAACAGCTACCACAAATTTACAACAGAAATCAAGTAATGGATTATAAATATAATGCAATATTTTAGGTCGATTTGTCGTATAGCACAATAAAACAGATGTAAGACTTGTAATTTAAAATTTTCTTACCTTTTAGGAAAGATGCGCATACCTGGTTATCAACAGGATGGATGACTATGATATTTGCATTAGATGTTTGTGATCACATTGATGTTTACGGACTTGTTCCTGAAAATCACTGCAGGTTAATGATTGTCTTTATTTTCATTATGTAGGGGGTAAGTTGAGTGGTTTTTATGACTCAAGTATCACACTTTATCTGGAACGGCTAAACTTTTCGTAGACACTGGGTGTGAAGGGTAAAGATTATATATTCAGAGTATGTTTTAAAATTATATAAGAGTATATTAAAAAAGTATATTTTGATAAAACAATATCTGATATTGATAGTCAATGTTGTTGTTCACAGCAAATTGACGAACTGGACTACACCGTATCATTACTACGATCTTGTGTTCAGATCAGAATGCGGCTATTATAACGAAAGCGAAACCAGCTTATTAAGAGGGCACAAGTTCCTAACGGAAAAGGCTGTATATGCAAAATTGTATCAAAAGTACAATCTCAATTTCTACTATCCAACATGGGATGCCGAGGACTTGGAAACCAATAACAACCGTACCAACAGCACTTTTTTAGATACCCCGTATCTTCGACGGTATCAACACGCTATGGAAACTGGTGAAATGAAAGAAGCTTTGCTCGAACTTGAAAAGAAAGAACACAAAGTTCGAAGAATTTCAAAGAAAACACTGAGAAAACGAAAAAAAAAGCTATGATTCAAAAGGCACGGACAAGGGTCAAATTAACGAAAGCACGGAGACGAACCGCAAAGGCTGCACCTAAGAGTGGGAATTCACCGGAACAAAATAGCACATTGCAAGTAGGCAGTGATCAGAAAAATAATCAATCTACAGGGTATTAAGAGAATTCAGAAACACTGGTATATAATCTTCCTTATGATCGTGACAACCAAAACAAAAAGAACCTAGTATTTTGCATATTATGTCCATCGATTATATGCTGGGTCACCAATATAGGTGCCTATTGGCAGGAGGGGGACAGATGGTGGTCTTGAGGACGATTTCAGCAGCACTTATTTGTTACTAGTTACCCTGCTGTCGTATAGTTAGGCCTATAGCACAAAAGGGTTCGTCGACTGCAGATATCACAGGGATTTCGGACCCCTGTAATTCGTCCTCAGGCTTATCCATAGTGAATTCCTCGCAAACGTTACGTACCCTGCCAAGCCGTGCCTTCCGTCAGAGATGGCTCTCATGTACTGTCATCCTTTTTTAACGATAGCGTTTAACCATAGTATAACAATCTACTTTATAGAAAGGTTATATGCTATTACATATGCATTAACAATTGCCATATCATAATTCACCCCTTTCTTCCTTATTGTTGTAATTATCAATATAACTATACATTATAATGATAATATAATATACAAGCATTTTTAACCAATATAAAAATAAATTATCAAAGGCGTAAAGGTATACCGTGTTCAGAGTGTACAAACAAAAAACGATAATGGTGGACAGAAAAAAAGATATGGTTGTTTTTTTTTAGTTCCAGAGTAAGAACTCTTTTATTTGCAGACCGAAGACGAGAATTTGGGACATAGAGATTGGGCGCCTAGGCCCTATACTCGTATTTTTAAGGAAACATTTACATCTGAAACAAATCAAATCGTTATGTATACAACCC